CCCCAAAACCCCAAAACCCCAAAACCCCAAAACCCCAAATATTGGACTTTTTATTGAAACGAGACTAATCATAATCTTCAAGTGCTTGCTCGAGACAATGCCAAATATCCTTTAAACTTCCATCACTCATGAGGTTCTCTTGGACGAGGAAGTGTACTGCTTTTGATACAAACTCACTTCCGATTTCTATGAAGCCAAACTCATTCAGGAACTGAGCAGCAAACTCTCCTGACTCAGTGAGTTTCTTCCTTTGTTCATCAGAGATGCCAATAACCTTAAGTTTTGATTTAAAATGGAGGAGGATCTGCATTCAATTTGCAACAATACTCTTGCTGACGAGCGTAGTGTTATCTTGAATGTAAGCAAAAGTAATAAACTCTAAAGCCATAGATAAGAGTTTGGCATGAGAAATGTCCCCAAATATTTGGAGTAAAATTGGGTTTTCATGCTCATTTTTGATGTAGAGTTTCACTAGATGGCTGAAAATTTCTGTAAAAAGTGGTCTCAGTGAATCTTTTGGGATGTTCTCTGGATTGTTGCCTTCATTATTAGCTTTATTTAGAGAACAGAAGAGGCTTTATGAACCAGTCTTGGTCTAATGGAAGGTAAGGATTGTTTTTCAGCTGAGAGAAGCTGATCTTTGGCTTTGGATCCTTTTCATCTAGGATATTTCCATATCCCATATAGAATGATAATAATACTTCATTCTCCTTAAATAACTCTTCAAGAACTTGCAAAAGAACTTTCTCATCACCTGGAACAAGTAGGGTGAGCAAATGTTGAACAATGGATAATCAGCAAAAGTTTGGATCTTTATCAGTTAATATTTTCTTGTTTCTGATAAAACACTGCAGAATAGGTTTCAATGATGCATTTTGATATTTCTCTATAAGACTTTCTCTGCTTATTTGTGAAAAGTACTCAAGATATTTTTCATAACAAATTTTCAGGCAAGTTTTAGAAGACTCCACAGACCTTCTCATTATCAAGAGAGATGCATCCCTAGTCTCATCATCAACTGGGTGAACAATTGATAATACACTTTCTCAATCAATTTCTTTAGTCTCTCTTAATATAGCTTCGATGATGAGCATATGGTGCTTCATTCAACTTGAGTTTTTGACTTGATCAATATAAGTTTCATCTTGAACAAGCTTCTCTCAAACTCCTTTAAGTGCTGATTGAACATCCTTGTAAAATTTAGAAGTTCGCTCATCAGCCCAGCTATAATCGAGCCCTACACAACTTTGGTAGAAATCAAGCTGGAGTATATGAATAACCTCGGAAATGACAGTCAGAGTTAGGGAGTCTGTTCAAATTTGGCCTTCAGGAAAAATAAAGCTCAACAACTTCTGAAGAAATACAGTGACTTCATATCGTTTTTCAGTCGTCTTAGCTAGAATCTTCCATTTTGCATTCAGCTTTAAGAGATATCAAAATTTGAGCTTTTGAAGGAAAGCTTCTGTAAAGTCTTCAGTTTCTAGAGAGGGTAATTGATTCTCAATTTTAGCTTCATGATCATCTAAGGTAATACTTTGAGTCCTCAGAGTTAAATACTTGACCGTTTCTTCTAGAATTCACAGATACTCTTCATTCCAATCTTTGTTACTTTGAATCACAGTGCAGATATTGATAGCTCAATATTTAGAGCATTTTACTAGGACTGATAGCAAGCTAAACTTGTTCATCTTGAGTAATCTTTGTACCAGCTTAATGAAATAGTTTTCTGGGATCCCTTTGACAACATTTTTGCTTAAAGTCAGTGTGTTTTCAAGCAAGTCTCAGCAAATATGAGTAAAGCTTTGATCTAGATCTTGAAGGATCCCTTCTACTATAGTGGCAATTATTGGGAATTCAGAAGTTATCAAATTCACTATTTCTGAAAGAGGTTGATCAGAGCCGAATCCGAGAGACTCCTTCCATTTGAATTCAGGAACATTTAGGTCTGTTTGAAGTCTGAAATCTGGTAATATCTTTACTCTTGGAATTTCCTTAGTCAATTCTTTAATGAGTGTCACAAGAATCTGAAAGAACACAGCTTGGTAGGATATTGGTACTTTTGAGGATTGAGATAAAACAATAAGGCATGATTTCAGCACATCTTTGCTCATGAATACTCACTTTTTCATGACTATTGCATCTGGATTTAACGATAGGAAATTCTCAAGAATACTCAAAGCTAGCATTCTTTGTGGGATATAGCTACTATGAAGGAGGAAAATTATGTCATTGGTAGAGAAGAATTTTTCAGTAATGTCTGTATTCTCATCAATATTTAGCCTATCTGAAATTAAAGTTGAGGAACCCTTTAACGTTTCCTTTTGCCCAACTTTGCAATCTCCACTTCTGTTAATATAAACTTCATGAGAAAGAATCTCTGATTCAGTTAATCCATTCTTGTCCAGGAAGAAAGAATCTTTTGAGATGTTAGGAGTATTTTTGTCATTTTGTGGACCCTTTTCGTTTTCAGTAAGTTTAACTGTAGAATCTGCTTCAGATGAGACCTCCTGAAGTTTAGACTCTTCGTCCTCCTCGTCTTTCTCATACTCAATTTTTACTGGTTTATTTAATATTGAGCTGATTCATAGCCATCCTTTCTAATTTTTGAAGAAGAGCTGGAGGGATGGATTTCTTTATTGCCTCTAATGCTTCATTTCTCTCACTCTGACTCATATTTTGCACCTTTTGGCTATTATCTTGACTTATCTCATTCAGATCACTATTTAAGCTTGAGTTAACAGCACTCTGATCCCACCACTGAACTTTAGACATTTTATCTTTTGGATCTTGACTTTCTTTTGAGCTTATTGAAGAAATTTTCTGAAATTGGCTCTGAAATACTCCCTCATCTTTTTGAAGAGGATCTTTGTCTACGCTTATTGGAATATCTATTTTCTCAGCAATTGGAAAATTAGTCTTGTTTTCAGGAGTAGCTTCTTTAGCTCCTTTATCTACCATTTTCTTATTTTTCATCATTTGAGCAAACAATGACACCTTCTTCTTTTTCTTAGGGCTATCTGGAGCATCTTCTGGAACTGAGACTCCTTTAATTATATCACGCTCGTAGATAATAACTTTATCAGCTCCAAAGTCTTCATGGATTTCTGGTGTGACCTCCTGTTTCTCTTCCTCTTTTTGTAAGTCAAAGAGAGGATTCTTCTCTATTTTTACACTCATTTTCTCATTTAGCTTTGGTTGACCTTCTTTAAATGTTTCTGACTCATTTCAGATAGGCTCTGCTCTTTTATAATCCTTGATGATATCTTCATTGTTCTTAGCTGCCCGTAATTTCTTTAAAGGATGAGGTTTGAACCCATCTTCGTCAGGGAGATAGCTTATTTGGTATTCCTTTTTAGACATTTTACTAAAATAATATTTCAAAATATTAGAAGTAAAAGGGGTTTTGGGGTTTTGGGGTTTTGGGG